GCCACTAGGTTGATTGAAAAGCACTATGTGATATTCTCAAGTTTTTCTCATTAATCCTCAAAATGCCCTATGAAATAACTATCACTAGCCCTGTTTTGCAGGTGAGTCAATTGAGACACGGGTTAAGCAACTGACCCAAGGTTGCACAGTTAGTATGTGGCTGGCAGTTAACAACAACAGTCTTAATTAATTCAAGTCTAAGCACTTAGCCACTCTGTTCTCTTTACATTGATCTTCCTCTCCTACCTGCTCAAATCCTTTCACTGCTTACAGAATATAATTCTTGACTGGTGTTCATCTTCTGCACTGCATTTTAATGTTTCTACCTCATCTGTCTGTTCCCTTCCCTTCAGCAATTTTGGAGCTCATTGGTTGTCACCTTATGTTATTTATCTTTTATGCATATGTCCCATCCCCCACATTGGACTGTAAGTTCTTAGAATATGGACCACATCTCTGTCCAACCTCTTGTGACCCTGAGGCAGGAAGTGATTATGGCTGATAATTGGTGTGTGAAAATGTCCTGGAAATTCTCATTTGAGCCCTCCTAAAATAGCCTCGAATCCACATCCTGATCTCAGCACTTTCCAGAGAAAGAAACTGACCCTCCAGATGCTAAAGGACTTGTTAAGGAGGAAATACTCTATTTGTTTTCTTTCTGGAACATTTATTGTGTGCCAGCCACCAGCAGCAGGAGGGAAGACAGCAAAGAGATAGAAAGATGAACAAGAACAGTTCCCTTGTCTCCAGATGTGGACACCACGGTGAGAAGCAGCAGAAGACGCCCATAATGCAGTGTGAAAGTTCTATGTGCCCTCCCAGTCTCAAGTTGTGCTAAGCACCATCCTTGGTCCAAAGGGTCAGAGGGTCTTCACCAAGGAGGTGATGCCTACACTGAGCTTGAGTGGATGAGTAGGAGGTGATCCAGGGGTTCAGGCTCTCCAAGCAGAGGGGTCTGCCTGTGCAAAGGCTCTGAGGCATGCCAGAGCCCAAAATATTTAGGAAGAGAAAAGTCCCAGCTCAGTGTGGTTGGAAGAAAGGCTGATTCCAGGTGGAAAGAGGAGAGCTGAGATTCAAGGAAAAGTAGGCAGAACTCAAGTCTGTAATTCAAGTTCCTGAGTGGCAAGAACTTTGTGAGTACAGGAACTGATGGCCTTGACAAATTTTGTTCAGGGAAAATGCAGGCCAAGAATTTGTCATAATCAAGAGCAGTAAGAGAAATGGATTGGAGTGAATGAGATGGGATATAGATCAATTAGAAGTAAAAAAGAGAGAGGTGCCCAGAGGTCAAGGAGAGTCACAGAAGTGAGGATGTGGAGGAGGGGGTGAGGTCAGGAGATGCAAAGATAATCTGTAAGATGGGGGACGGGTGGACACGGACCTGGAGAATGAGCACTTCCAGCAGGGGTGATGAGGGAGGAACTGAGCCATAGGGCCCACCCAGTGGCATTTGGGGGAAGGAGGCTGGAGCCCACTAACTTCTCCCTTTCTGGTTTTGTGATGTGTTTTAAAGGCCTTTCATGACTCTGGTATCCTCTAAAGTTTTAGAGCCACTGCTATAGAAAGATGCAGTTATCACAAGACTGAACATGGAATGCTGGGTTCCACCCTTGGTTTCTGATCTAGAAAGTCTGGCTTCAGGCATGAGCATTTGGTTTCTCACAAGCTCCCAGGGGCTGCTGCAGCTGCTGCTCTGGCAAGCCAGACTTGGGGAAGCCCTGCTGTCCCACTGACATTTGCCATTCCCTTCTTACCACTCTCCTTCTTTGGCATCCTGAGCCATCTCTTTCCTGCAGGCCCACTCCTTACACTGGAAAACTCTGGAGCCGGAATACAAACAGAGACCCAAGGTACAGAGTTTTAAAATTTAGAGGTCAAGCTTAGAGTCTCCTTGGAGTTTCACACAGAAACATGGTCCCAGCCCTGCCAACCTTCATTCTCCTTCCACCTGGACTCAGTTCTGTGTAGCACTTGGCAGACTTTCTCCAAGTGTGGGGACACTGGGGCCTGCTAGTCAAGCTCCCTTTAAGTCCCACTCTGCCTGCAACCCACCACCAACTAGGGACCCCTTGGACAGAGGGATTCGCCCTCGAAGGACAACCAGGGGAAGGGGCCTTACTGGGCCTCAAAGCAGATTCAGAACCGTGGGGTAAGAAAAAGTCCCAGGATCCCAGAATGAGAGCTTGGCTACAAGGGGTTGCCCAGGATTTGGATGAGTGCATCCCTTAGCCCTGGGACACCTCACACTGTGGGGAGGGACACAACTAGAAGAGGACCAGCATAAGGTCAGATGAAGGTCAGGCCCAGGCCTAGGGTTAAGCATGGGACTGCTTTCCTAACCACTCCAGCCACTCCTGTTCAGCTTCTGTCGCTGGCTCCCACGTCTCCGGCCTTCTACACCAGAAGTTCTTAATTGGAAGAGTGTCTTTGAGAAAATATCTGAATCCCCTCAGAAAGTAGACAAAATCTTGACTGTGTGAGGCTACATTTTTCTTGGGGGGAAAAATATTTTTGTTCTGTTCTCAAAGGGTCTGCGATCACTCCGTGCCAAAAAGATCAGCACCATTGCATTGCAGACCTCTCTTCTGAATCCCAGATCTGGAGATAAAGCTTCTCTAAATCCATGTCTTTCATACCTCATTCTGAAAGCTGAAACCAAGTCTGTCTTCTGCCCTAAACCTATTCTGTTTCCTGTGTTCCCTACTTCAGTGCATTGCGTCAAAAAACACCCTAAACTCCTTTTTGTGTTTTCCACCTCCCTCCCTTTCATCAGTGCGTCTGAATCTACTCTCCTAATTCTTTCTCAAAATCACCACTGTACTCCAATAATGCCTCGATCCCTCACTGGAGGAAAGTTTGAGAGCTTAGATCAGTACTGTTTTTTACTTCTTGCATGGATTTGGGGGCAAAGTGGACCTGGAAAGTCAGGTTGAAGAAAGAGCATTGGAAAGCAAATCAGATTGGTCTAGGAATGTCTGCATCATGGCCAATAAGTCTATGATGAACTTTTATAATTAGATGTAGTGATGCATTTAATTTTCTTTAATTTGATTACAATAGTTCCTCCATTACTATGAATTTTTCAACACTAGCAGTTCTCAAAAATGGTATTATTCCCATTCCTGGTCCATATAATAAGCTCAGGTAATAAGCAGCATTAATATTCCATTAGGACACAGAAAAAAAAATCAGTGTAGATGGTATCCAGATTGTTTATTTTCATCATCCTAAAGCTGATTTTAGTTTTTCTGAAAATGAAAGCAAACACAATGGATAGAGATACAATCTTACATGAAATAATTAGTGAGGTGGTGCAGGGCCTGAATAGAGCCTGTGAGAGGAGGATAAAAAAAAGACTGAAAATTGTTATTTGAAAGAGAAAGACAAATACTACATGATCTCATTGATATGTGGAATTTAATAAAGAAAACAGATGAATATATGCTAAGGGGGAAAAGAAAAAAAGAGAGGGAAACAAACCTAAGAGACTCTTAAGGACAGAGAACAAATGAGGGTTGATGGAGGGAGGTTGTTGGGGGATGGGCGAGATGGGTGATGGTATCGATGACACTTGTTACGATGAGCACTGGGTGTTGTAAGTGATGAATCACTGATTTTATTCCAGAAACCAGTATTGCACTGTACGTTAATTACTAAAATTTTAATTAAAAAAGTTAATTGGGAGCCTGGGTGGCTGAGTTGGTTAAGTAACTGCCTTTGACCCAGGTCATGATCCCGGAATTCCCGGGATCGAGTTCCACATCCAGCTCCCAGATCCACAGGGAGTCTGCTTCTCCCTCTGACCTTCTCCCCTCTCATTCTCTCTCTCTCTTTCAAATAAATAAACTCTTTTCTTAAAAAAAAAAGTTAATTAAAAAGTGGTCATTTGTTCCATCAAAAACTCTTCTGCTTTGAATTCCTTCAAATTATGTAGAAGCTAAATATAATCCTGCATGTAGACATGGCAGTTCTCAAAATTATGTACAAACACCATTTTTAGAATGTAAATACCTAAAAAAGTCTGAATTTTACTAAAAAAATATCCCGTGAAGAATAGGGCCCTTTAACAAGTTAGTCTAATGCCAGTTTAAATTCTCCAAACCTGTGGACCACAAATTCCTCTGTGAAGAGTGATTTCTATAGCATCAAACAATGTCATCGACTTAAGATCTCATATTACAGATGGTGAAGCAGAATCCCAAGGGCGTAGGTTACTTCCCCAAAGTTAGACAGAATTAAAAGTGAACCAGATTTTTGTTTGAGTCTAGTAATCTCAGTTGAACACAAGAGGTTGTGAAATAATCATCCATTTTATTCAGACCTCTCTAGCATCAGTCCAACACAGAACATTTGTGGGGCCGGGAGAAACGTCTGGAATGTGCTCCCTGTTTAAGTGTGTAAGTGCAGGCTTGGCTTCAGGCGTTACCCTCCACCTGACAGAAAGAAAATGAAGCTCAGAAGGACTGGATGACATAGTCCCACAGAGTGTCAGGAATTCAGTTTCCACTGCCAGTAAAAATACCCTACAGGACTACTTAAACTTCCCGGCGCTGGGGGTCGCTAGAACACTTGATTTTGTCTAAAGGAACCCAAGCCTTCACCGACCGGAAATTCCTTTACCCCCAACAAAGAGGGAGCGCCGTCACGTGGACCAATCAGATTGCCCTACGCAGGGTCGGCATTTAGCTAACTCATCCCGGTTTTCCTCTCCAAGAACGCTGACGTTAGCCAATCAGCGCGGCCTGAAGCCGGCGTGCGTCTGGCGTCAGAGGTGGGGTGGAGCCAAGTTGGAATTTTGGCGGGTCTGGCTGTAGGACGCGAACCGGTTCGGAATAGGGTGAGAGAAGTCAGAGTCTGGGTGTGGGGATGGCCCTCCGGCAGCTGGGGAGGGCGGCCACCACGCGGGTCTGTGGGAAGGTTTGAAGAGCTCCGAGGGCGAGCAGCGCGGAGCCCGGGGAGGTCAGGCGGGCGAGACTGGAATTGGGCGAGCGCGGTGTCCGAGCGGCCTGGTGGGCGCCGCCTGAGGAGCGACCGAAAGGTAGGGGCCCCTCTCAGAAGCACCGGGGAGGTGCCAGGCGTCGGGCCGTCGTCTGTACTTAAGGGGCCGGATTTGGTTTTTTCCTGAAGAAGGCTTTTAAAAATGCCTGCCAAATGCATGCCGTGTGGACTTAACATTCATTTTTTTTAAATTCATGATTTGCTAATAGTCCTTGAATGTGTGCCTCTGCCGGCCTCCAGACATAAATTATTTATGAATTATTTATGCGCGCACGAAGCTTAGAATCTCAAGAGAGTAACACAACAAGCACCCCGCAGTGGAAAGTGCAGTAAAGTCGCGAAAAGGATGAGGTGTGAGAGGGTGCCAACGCGGCCGCTCAGGTAGGGTGGTGTGGAAGGCTCAGAAAAATCGATGTCTACGGGGGAGCCGAAGGGATGAGAAGGAGCTAGGGGAGCGCTTTCTAAAGAGCCGGAGGCCTGAGAGCACTTTGTGTGTTCGGGAAGATGAAGGCAGTCTAGTCTGAGGAGAAATAGGCGAGAGACAGAGTATCCATTTCGTCATAGACTTTTAAATTTGGTTCAACCAATGAAAAATCACTGAAGAGGTTTTTTGGGGGGTTTTGTTTTGTTTTGTTTTGTTTTGTTTTAATTTGAGAGAGAGAGCTCCTGCAGGAGAAGGAAAAGCAGATTCCCCACTGAGTGGGGAGCACCCCATGGAGCTGCGTCCCAGGACCCAGAGATCATGACCTGAGCCAAGCCAGACGCTGGTGGGACTGAACCACCCAGGTCCCCCCTTTAAAGACTTATTATTGAGGGAATACCACGATCCACTGTACGTTCCTAGAAAATTACTAAGAAAAAAAAAAGATTATGGTGGCTGCTGTTTGGAGAAGAGATAACAAAGAGACCAATACCAGAAGCCCATGCAGTAGGTTCAGGCAAAAGATAGAGCAGTATTTTGGAGACAGACCCGATGGCAGCTGTTGGGTGGTCCTGAATGTGAGGGTGAGGTAGAGTACACAGCTTTGAGGGGAAAAAGGCGGTTGGTTATAGAGATGAATACAACATTTGGCTAACCCTCAGGAAGCTTATAGTCCAGCAGGTTTCTCAGGAGACTCTCAACACAGTGTGGTGCACACGGTACTTCCACAGAAATATTTGTTGAATAAAAAGAAAGCATCATAATTAATACTTGATATTAGACATACCAAGGTTAGCTGTAAAGCTCATCAGTTAAATAATAGCTTAGAAAATTTGTACTTTTTTCTTGCAGTTATTAAAATTAATTTAATGGGGATGCCTGGGTCGCTCAGTCATTTAAGTGTCTGCCTTTGTGTCAGGTCATTGATCTCAGAGTCCTGGGATGGAGCCTGCTTGGAGCCCACTCAGCAGGGAGGCTGCTTCTCCTTCTCCCTTTCCTGTCCCCCACTCCCCTTGTGCATGCTCTCTCTTTCAAATAAATAAAATCTTTTTCTAAAAAAGTCAATTAAATGAAAGAAGGGCAATGCACAGAATAATATGATTTTACCCTTCTTAGCTCTGCCAACACTGAGTTTTGCTGAGTAGTATTGAATTGAAATCCTGATGTGACTAAGGCTGCAATTGAGTAGAACCACCCACTAGACTGCTATGGATAAGGTAGCCATCACATGTGTCATAGTAAATAAAATGGGATCGTAGCCCTAATATTTAGACCACTCTCAATAATACTTGTCCATAATCCGTCCCATCCATGTAATCTAGTACCCTACAAAGGGTACATCAACCGAGTTTCTAAAACCATAGTTTGAAGTCAAGATAAAGGGAGATGGTGTTGGTAGGTGGAGATGAGAAGTGGTCAGATTTTGGATGAATTCTGAGCTTCAAGCCTGTAGGATTTGGGAGATCCTAGATTTGTTGCCTATGAGATGTGAGAGAGGGGACAATCAAGGGTGACTTTTCCCATGTTGATTTCATAGCCTAGCCAAGATTTGACATTACTGCCATCTCCTGGGCACCTGATTCTCCTTCGAAGCTCTCAATCACAACTGTTCTCTTGACAGCATGGATGGTAAGTTCTCTTTATTTTATGGAAAACCACCCTTTTGTCCACAGACTTATTTTACTTGCAAAATAGTGAAAATAGGTATACCCCACCCTCAAGTATTTTCTCAGTGGTTCAGAGAAGATCTCACTTCAGTCAGTGAATGTTATTTGTTCAGTCAGGTGGGATTTTATCTCCTGGCAGCATTGATTGTCTTTCATAATAATGATAGTTGGCATGTACTTACAACGTGCCAAGCACTATTCTAAGGTCCCTACTTATTTTAACTTCTTCCCTACTTATATTAACTTCCTTAGTCCTCTGAGCAACTGTATTTTTTAGACTGGAAGACAGATGGTTAGTAGTTTGTCACGGGTGAGACTGCCAGAGCAGGGATTTGAACCCAGGCAGTTTGACTTCAGAGTTCACAATTAATAATGAAGTCTGTTGAAATGGTTTTATCTAGCTCTGGGTTAAACTCTTATAGTCCTTTCTAATTTTATACCCTGCCCTTTTCAAAAAAGGAGAACCAAATGTTGAAATTCCTCACACTATAATAACACGTGACATTGATTGTACCTTTGGTAAAATAATAGTGTCCTGTTTCCAAAAATCATAAAATTGCCTTCTGGGCAGTTAATTTAATATAAAGTATAATTATTTGCTGGGAGACAGTTATGAGAGTAAGTGGTGAATGGTATGTGTTCTCTAAGAAATCATTGTATCTAATAAACATTGATTTGGTTAGCATAGTGTTAATAATCTGGTTCAGTACAGATGGAATCAAAGCATTTACTGGTTCTGGGCATACATGGTTGAACAAAATCCCTGCTTCTATTCTAGTACAGAGAGCAAGATTGTAACAAATAAGTAGGAAAATATCAGGTAGTTGGTACAATGGAAGATACTAGAATGAATTTGTATGCTGAGAGAAATGCTCCAAAAGACAGGAAATAATGGGTGATGTGGGGATGAGAGCTGATACTTATAGGCTTAAGTCCTTGAGGATCTAAAAGGAAGAGGGTCCAGTGTATAAATGGAATGAGGAAACACGGAGATTGGGTCAACATAACATGGAAAAGACAGGATTTTCTGTGGTGACTGAGTTAAACCAGGATGGGTGGTATCACGGGATTAGACCTGGTGCTCTCATGAAAGAAAATGGGTTCAAGGAAGGGTATGGAGCCACTTGGCCACATTTGTCACCTGGGACTCCCAGTGGTATGAGCCAAGGCCTCTTCTTGGGATGTGCTGTCTTCCACAGCTGGTAGCCAGACAGAGGAGGGCCTCTTGGCTCTATTGAGGGAATGTGGCTGTCTCACCTAGAGCACAGGGAGCCAGATTACCTCTTCTCTCTTGCTGCACCCTGCAGTTGGAGTATTGACTCAGCAATTTAGATAAATCATTATGCAACCTCTGACTTTAAGCTTTAGACCCTTTCATCAGATTCTAGGCCATGAGTTTGGCTACTGGCTGTTTTCCATCTGCTAAGAATGCAGAGTAATGGAAAGAATATTGGTTTGCTGGTCTAGAGAGTGCCATCCTTTTTTTTTTTTTTTTTTTTTAGATTTTATTTATTTATTTGACAGACAGAGATCACAAGCAGGCAGAGAGGCAGGTGGAGAGAGAGGAAGGGAAGCAGGCTCCCCGCTGAGCAGAGAGCCTGTTGCGGGGCTTGACTCCAGGACCCTGGGATCATGACCTGAGCTGAAGGCAGAAACTTCAACCCACTGAACCACCCAGGCACCCCTAGAGATCTCCATCCTAAGTCAGCCTCCTGTGCTGACCTGTTTCACCATATGGTCCTGAACAGGCCTTTGACCTCTCTGTACTTCAGCCCTTATCTTTGAGGTGAAGGGGGTGTGTGAAATAGCCTTAATGTCTCTGCTTTAAAATGGCTCAGATCAGGGCGCCTGGGTGGCTCAGTGGGTTAAGCCGCTGCCTTCGGCTCAGGTCATGATCTCAGGGTCCTGGGATCGAGTCCCGC